TTTTTGTAGAGATGAGAGTCTCACTATGTTGCCCAGGCTGATCTTGAGTCCCCAAGCTCAAGCAGTTTGCCTATCTTGGCCTCCCAAAGTGCTAGGATTACAGGCATGAGCCATTGTGGTTGGCCAGTGCAAGTCTTTATGCAACTTTTGTCACTTGCCCTTGAAACCAGTGAAATAATGGATGTAAAGTGCTTTGTAAAGTAAGGTATGCTGCTGGATGCCGTGACTCACACCTGTAATCCCAACTCTTTGAGAGGCTGAGGCAAGAGGATTGCTTGAGCCCAGGCGTTCAAGACCAGCTTGGGCAACGTAGCGAGATCTTGTCTCCACAAAAAAGAAACACAATTAGCTGGATGTGGTGGCACATGCCTGTAGTTTCAGCTACCCGGGGGGCTGAGGCAGGAGGATCACCTGAGCCCAGGAGGTCAAGGCTGCAGAGAACCAAGATCACAACATCGCACTCTAGACTGGATGACAGAGTAAGACACAGAGTGAGATTTTGTCTCAAAAAAAAAAAAAATGAGGTATGCATATTAACTTATTACTGATATTAAGAAGTAACTGTAAGAGAAAGATCATTTTTAATATTTTGTTTGTGAGTTTTCTTTTTCTTTTTTTTTTTTTGAGACAGAGTTTCACTCTTGTTGTCCAGGCTGGAGTGCAGTGGGGTGATCTTGGCTCACTGCAGCCTCTGCCTCAGCCTCCTGAGTAGCTGGGATTATAGGCACCCTCCACCATGGCTGGCTAATTTTTGTATTTTTAGTAGAGAGGGGGTTTCACCATGTTCGCCAGACTGGTCTTGAACTCCTGACTTCAGATGATCCACCCGCCTCGGCCTCCCAAAGTGCTGGGATTACAGTCGTGAGTCACTACTCCCTGCCCTTGAGTTTTCATTCTGGCTCTACAGCGAATGTAGTTGTGTGACCTTGGGCAGGTTATTTCACATCTCTGCTCTTTGGATATGTCCCCTGTAAAGTGATTTATGCATTGGGACTTTGGGGGCTTCTAGCAAAATGGATCCATTAAGTGGTAGGGGCATCAGTTTTACAATAAGGGCACAGTACAGGCCCCAAAATGAATATACTACATTGGTGTTATTCTCATCAGCTAAGTACACAGTTAAACATTATTTTTGGTACGTGAGCATCTTGATGCAGTAGATAACTGCTGTTTTCCTTCTGTTGCATTCAATTTCTCATCTTGATGTATTCATTTCTTTTCCTCATGTTCATAGTGTTGTCCTGTCCCTCTGCTCTTCCTTGTCATCATTTCCATTTCACTTTCCTCGTGTTTCATTCCTCTGTCTTTCTTGTCTAGACCAAGCGGAGCAGCCAGCTGGCAGTAGCGCCCTGTAGGACCCCCAGGACCTGATGGTAAGTGCACTTGTGTGCTTGCCAGGCTCCCAGCGGCTCCTGCTCCTCTGCCTCACAGAGAGAAGCTCACAAATTTCCTTCTCCCCTTTGTAAATGTCCTTATGGGTTGGTTGGTTTTTTCTTTTAATTTGATGACATATAAGACAGAAATCAAGTGTCAGAAGAAACCAGTACTGGTTTAAAGAAATGTAGCAGGTTCCACTGCCTGTTGTTTCAATATTTGGCAGTTGTGAGGGACACCAAGCATGTGTGTGTATAGGCAGGACCCCTGGTTTGACCTTTTGTTTTGCCATAGACTGATTAGTCCCTCTCTGACCCTGGCCTTCAGTTTCTTTCACAAAATTGCAGGCAGGAAAGGTGGATTTGATAGTCCCTTCATCTCTAGTCTAAGGCCCTCATGACAAGAAGTAACCTGACAGGTGGTTCTCCTAAAGACTGAGATCATTGTTTCAGGTGTCAGATAATCTCAATTCCATGGATGAATGGTAGAATCATGGTAGACTAATTTCCATGATAAACTAAGTCTGTCAGTGTTCACCAAATTTAGTTTGGTGGTATTGCTCCATTTTTAGAATTGTCTTACTACTGTTTTTTGAGTACCGTTTCTAATTTTTAATAAGTATATGGACTATTGAGTTACATATGTCTTTAGTGACCCAGAAATGCATTGGTCTAGCCCTGTGGTTCTTAACCTGTGGAAATCTCCCCAGGGAACATCTGGCCATGTCTAGAGACTTTGGATTGTTATACTTAGAAGGGGCTGCCACTGGCATGTAGCAAATAGAGGCTATAGGTGCTGTTAAACATCTTTTATCGCATTGGACAGCCCACCACACAGCTAAGGATTATCTGGTCCACATGTCATTTATGCTGCTGTTGAGACGCCTTGATACCTCATAGTGGCCTGTGGCAGGATACCCTCCTTAGTCCTCTGATAGGATCCAGGAGATATACCTACTGCACGTGGCTTCTCTTCACAGTGGATTAGGTTTCCAGGGTCATGGCTTTTAAAGAGGACACCCAGGGAGAGAAAAGGGAGTTCTCACTGATGAGGTTTTGGTGGTTCAAAAAAGGACATTTGACATTTAGTGTCAGCTAGGTACTCTAATGTTCTTTTAGGTAGAGAATAAAACTTAAAATAGCACTTTACCTTGTAGACAGTTATGTGATTTCATTTGGAGTGCATCTTAATGGTATTAAGATTATACTTTGTTTTGTTAAGATATAAATCTAGACATTTTACTTATTTAATATTCTATTTACATGTAGAACAGTGTACTTTGCTTTTATATGACCTATAGACTGGGTTTGGATGGCACTTGGGAGGTTATAGAAAAACCCTTGCATTTCTTTTGCAAGTGATTGTATTACAACAAACTGACGTCTGTTTTTCTGCTAAATTTTACAATGTGACCCTTCTTTAAATGTGTATAACGTTTATGCAAGGAGTGAAGGTTTAGATTACACCTCTCCATTTTAATTTATTTTAAAAGCTCATGCTAAGTACTAAGTAAATGACTGGCAAGAAAGGGCCATGTTCCTTGGCCTGTTTGTGGTACATGAGGTGGTATGTCTTATAAAAATGTCATTGTTTGGATTCAGGGAAAAACTTTCTGAATATGATCTTTGAATCAAGCATCTGTGGGCTACACTAGGAACTCACTCTTCCCGTGGTAATAAAAGAAGCCATGGATTTCCTCAGACATCAGCTGCAGCACTAGAAAAGTTATATAGGTAGATAGTAGTTTATATTTGCATTATGTGCATGGGTGGGTGATAAGCATTTTGTTTGCTATCAGTAATCTAATATGGGCTGAGCATTACATACAGAAAGAACTAGCTTATGTCATAAGCATTAAGAAAACTGATTGAAAGGAGGTAGAATCCAAATTCCCTTAAACAAAACTGGATCCCCGAAGAACCTTTGCCATTATCTGATTTAGACAAAGTGCTGTTAAGTTGATACAGGGAGAAAGAATTGTAAGAGGAAGTTATGCCTGGAAAGGTGCTTAGATGTTTGTGCCCCTTTTGGAGGGGATTGACTTGCAATTCTTCACCTGCAGACACGTGTTAGTCATCTCCATGCAGATCCTTCACGCTTGTTCCCACCAGAATGTAGTTCCAGTGAAGTGTGTGCTCATTTCTTGAGTTCCATTTTAAGTGCCTTTGGAAATGAGTGGATAGACAAACTTAACAGGAATTTATTTGTTCAAACAAACCCTTATAAATGTAGTGGCAAAAAAAAAAAAAAATCTGATTTCTAATGGGCTGAAGAATTAGGTGTTTAAAATGCTATTTTAGAATTTGCTTTTTAAGACTGACAAGCAAAATGACTTTATTAAGGTTATAGCTCTTAAATCTTTATCAAAATCTGATGATGTTTTTTAGGATTCGTTTTTGCTTTGCATTGTACCTGATGTTTCTACTTTTTGATGTTTTCAATGATGCTATTTTATGTCTCTGACCTCATTTTTATCTAGTTTACATATTTAGCTAATTATGCTTCCCTGTAGAGATTCTTTGTTATGGAGAGTATAACTTTACATGTTTACAGCAGCTTTAAGTAGCTTCTAGTTTCATTTTACTAATGCAGAGATAAAAGGTGTCAGAGGCTTGTAGTTCTGGAAGCTGGTGGAAGTTTTCATGGAGAGAGCAGTGGAGAAAAAGGAGTGTTCAAGGAAGAATAGGGATCTGTCTGGCTCCAAAGACTGAAACACCAGTTTCCAGGAAAGTAGAAATCTGGTAATTAAAAAATAGAAAAGAAAGGTTACAAATTCTGGTTAAATCCTAAAGAAACTGGGCTTCTGATTTCTTTAGTATTATTACTCCTATGGATAATTATTTCTTATCTTCATGACTTGAGTTCGTTGTTCCACCTTATCAGAACTATGCTACATTTTAATCTTACTTTCTAAAAGTGTGGTATCACTTGGAATGCAGTCAGTGTTTCTGAATTCCATCCTCTGAATTGTTAATGAAATATTGACCTGTGCTGGACCTACAGTCAGATCCCTCAGGGCTCTCAAGAATGCCATGCTGGTGGACAGTGAATTATTCATAATTACTCTGCATTTTGTATTTGAGCCATTGTGAATGTGTATCTTTTGTAATTCAGCAGAATCTCTTCGTCTCTTATTTTGCTTCCAACAATTATGGGTACTCATATCTTAGCTAAAGGGGCCCCACATTACACCATACTCTTTTTCTCTAATATGCTTCTTACAAACAGCCCGTCCCTGTTAGCTGTGTGGTATTGGAATTCAGTACTATTGCTAATTTTCCTTTGACATCAATAGTAACTTTTTGAGAATACATTACCTCATAATTTGATAGTCATTATAGCTATGAAAGGAACATCATAGCTGTAATGCCCAAGACTGCCAAAAATACAAGATAGATGAGTTTCTTTCTTTTCCCCTCTGTCATCATTTACTTATATAACATAGTATTTATAGTCATCATTTATTCCTTTCTTTAGGAATCCAAAGTGGTAATTGCCTAGGAATATATAGTGTGCTTGATTGGATTAATAATTGTCTTCTTCAAGAATCCAGAATGATAACACATGAGTGAATGAGTGAATGAATGAATGAATAAATGAATAAATAAATACAAATTGTGTTTCAGGGAAGAAAAAATCCCAGGAAAATAAAAATAAAGGAAACAAAATCCAAGACATACAACTGAAGACAAGTGAGCCAGATTTCACCTCTGCAAATATGAGAGATTCTGTAGAAGGTAAGCTTGTGATATTGGCCTGGTCTGAATTGGGGTATGTATGTACCCAGTGAATTTAACTTTGTATCTCCTTGTATTGTCCTTCTGAGAATCATTTAGGATCTGTACAGAGGTTAAACAGCAGAAAAGCTGCCTAAATTTAATATGGTAAACCGAGCCTTCTATATTCTACCTTCCCTTCAAACAATTATGAAAGACTTTTCTTCTTAAAAATGAACTTATTCCCTCATTAAAATAAAATGAGAACAGGTGTGGTGGCTCACGCCTGTAATCCCAGCACATTGGGAGGCTGAGCCAGAAGGATCTCTTGAGACCAGGAGTTTAAGACCAGCCTGGGCAACATAGACCCTGTTTCTATAAAATAAAAATAAAAAAATCCACTGAGATGGTGGCATGTGCCTATAGTCCTAGCTGCTTGACAGGCTGACGTGGGAGGATCACTGGTGCCCGGGAGGTTGAGGCTGCATAAACCTCCCTTCATGTTCAAAACTCAAAATCCCACCAGTGCACTCCAGCCTGGGTGACAGAGCGAGAGTCTGTCTGTTAAAAAAAAATAATGATAATAAATGAAACATACTACATAATTGCATTTATAGCATAAAGTTTAAAACCCTCAAAAAGTGATAGCAAGGACATGAGGAGGCTCCTGGGGTGCTTGTTGTGCTCTGTTACTGATCTGTGGAATGGTCACACGAGGGTATATATATTTAGTGAGAATTTTATCCTGCTATATACTTAACTATTTGTACACTTTAATACATGTATGTCTTATACTTCAAATTAAGTGTTTACTTAAAATATCAAAGGTCTTTGATTTTTTTATAACAGAATGAAAAGTGTACAGAATGAAGTGTGTTTCTGTTTTTTGTTAGAATTTAAATTCTTATTTTCTCTCTTCGTGTTTCTCCCCTTAAAATTTTCTCCTTTATAGTCCCTCTGATGATTAATATTCTAGGCCTGCCATGGTGTAAGAATCTAACTGAGAGGCATGGATTGAAAGTCAATCAGAGAGACAGCTTGCCCTGTGCTCATTGCAGTTGGGCCACCATGTTGAGACTGTTGGGACAGAAGGGAAGGAGGTGTGTCTTAATTTGCCATGGGCAAATTTTTGCAGGTTAGAGCTCACTGGAGTTGTTTATGGTGACCCAAATAGGCAAATTTCAGAAGACAGGTTTGTGACTCTTTCAAGAAATATTTGTAGAGAAAAATAACCAGAATATTTTGGATGCCTTTCATAACCATTTTTAAGCACTGTTTGTGATGATAACATTCATAAAATATTATAATTTTCTGTGCCGTTTTATGAAGCAAGAATAGACAAGTTCATTTCCCAGAGTCTAAAAACTAAGTTCTGCCTCTTCATTGCAGATCTGCTGAGACTTTTTTTTGAACAACAAAAATTACTGAGGAACCTCACTACCTTTGGTGGCAGAATTAAAAAAAACAAATCTAACAGTCACCTACTCCCCTTCAGTAATTCGGGACAATTATTTTTTTCCTGATACAACATCAGGTCCCATGAAAAATGACACTTGCTCTTTACCCCCCAGCATGTGGCACAGCTGGTCAAAGTGGGGTCGCAGGCCTCCCCTGAATGTTCCGCATTGTCCTCAGCAAATGGTCTATATAATGAGCAAACAGTTCAGACTCTTGTTTGTGTTCTCAACCCTCCTTTATGTTGAAAACTTAACAGACCACATCAAGCATGTGGACCCACTCTGGCATGGGCCGTAGTCGTTAATGGAGCTGTGCACACTTAGGTTTGTATTACTTTGGACAGTTCTAAATCTGGGATTGTTTACCAGTCATGAGGAAAGACATTTTTTCCCCATCAAAAGAAGCCACAGATTTTAACTGAAAGTGAAGTCTATAAAGAAATTTCTGAACCTTAGGGTTGTATGTTCTGTTGTCTTATTTCAGCTTTTGTTTGGCAGTATTGTGGGTCTCTGTTGAAAATGTATTTGAAAAGAAAGATAGCTCCTAATCTGAAATACATTACTACCATCGAACGACTGGTTTCCCGGTTTGTGGAAAGCTCATGGAATTTATGAAATTAGTCTAGCAGGGAGAGAAGACTGTGTCTGTTTAGAAACAGAAACCTCATTGCTAGTAAATATAGCAGCAGATGGGAAAAAGTAAGGTAGATATTCCTGGGAAAGAGCAAGGGGGCTAGGACGGCGTAAGTGAGCTTGCATGAGTAATACTTGGCATTGACCTCTTCCCCACTGTATCCACGCAGTCCCCGTGTCCAGTAGGAGGCCTTTCGGATCTTGAGGGTCTGGCTGCTCTTTTCTGCCTCCGCTACTCCTTCCCCTTTCCTTCTTAGCACAGCAGCCAGCATCTCTATTCTAATTCCGCTCTCCAGTCTTGCTCCTCAGCCTCCAGCGATGTCCTTCCCCCATCCCTTCCCCCACCCTGCAGCTGAGTCTCCCAGATGGCACTCTCCTGCTTTCAGATACCTTCAGTGGCTTCCCACTGTCCCCACATAAGTCCGCGTTAATTTACAATGTTCTGTGTGTTTTGATACTTCCCTGCTTGCTTTTCCTCTTCTGTCCTTGATTCTTGTATCCTTCAGGTTCAGCCTGAAGAAGCCTTTCCTGATTAATCAAGCCCATGTGAGATGCTTCCATACCACACTTCCATAAGCAAAAGCATTACTTTTTTATAGTTTTGTTGCTTTCTTGCTTGTGTGTGGCATCTGTTAAAGTGAAGCTCTTCTATGTGTAAGGATCTTGACAGTCTTGTTTACCTAGTTCTGGCAGATTGTGAGTGCTAAGTCAATATCTGCTAGTGACTGGGGAAACAGCCAGGTAATATAGTCTGGAGAAGTCAGAATAGCTCTGCCTCCTCCACGGAGCCTTTCTTAACTCTCCTAGTGCCTGCAGTAGATGGGCCTGATTCTACAGTGCAGCAAGTGAGACTGTCGAAGCAGCAGCATTGGGGACCATTCCTACTAGCAGGAAACCACAATTACAGTTTCTGTCTTTAAGAATCTCCTGTTGTCCCTGTGTTTTCTTCCAGTCTCTACTCTATTTCTTTTTCTTTTTCTTTCTTTTTTTTTTTTTGAG